TTACACGGATCAGTCGTCCTGGTCCCTTTGCAGAAAAACAGCCCCAAAGCATGATGTTTCCACCCCCATGCTTCACAGTAGGTATGGTGTTCTTTGGATTCTTTGTCCTCCAAACACGACGAGTTGAGTTTTTACCAAAAAGTTCTATTTTGGTTTCATCTGACCATATGACATTCTCCCAATCCTCTTCTGGATCATCCAAATGCACTCTAGCAAACTTCAGACGGGCCTGGACATGTACTGGCTTAAGCAGGGGGACACGTCTGGCACTGCAGGATTTGAGTCCCTGGCGGCGTAGTGTGTTACTGAGGGTAGGCTTTGTTACTTTGGTCCCAGCTCTCTGCAGGTCATTCACTAGGTCCCCCCCGTGTGGTTCTGGGATTTTTGCTCACCGTTCTTGTGATCATTTTGACCCCACGGGGTGAGATCTTGCGTGGAGCCCCAGATCGAGGGAGATTATCAGTGGTCTTGTATGTCTTCCATTTCCTAATAATTGCTCCCACAGTTGATTTCTTCAAACCAAGCAGCTTACCTATTGCAGATTCAGTCTTCCCAGCCTGGTGCAGGTCTACAGTTTTGTTTCTGGTGTCCTTTGACAGCTCTTTTGTCTTGGCCATAGTGGAGTTTGGAGTGTGACTGTTTGAGGTTGTGGACAGGTGTCTTTTATACTGATAACAAGTTCAAACAGGTGCCATTAATACAGGTAACGAGTGGAGGACAGAGGAGCCTCTTAACGAAGAAGTTACAGGTCTGTGAGAGCCAGAAATCTTGCTTGTTTCTAGGTGACCAAATACTTATTTTCCACCATAATTTGCAAATAAATTCATTAAAAATCCTACAATGTGATTTTCTGGAGAAAAAAAATGCTCAATTTGTCTGTCATAGTTGACGTGTACCTATGATGAAAATTACAGGCCTCTCTCATCTTTTTAAGTGGGAGAACTTGCACAGTTGGTGGCTGACTAAATACATTTGTTACCCCACTGTTTAAGCTGGAAGTAGAAGCCTAAGTGTTGTTGTCTATTAGTTTACTCCAATTAGGGGAGGGGTGGTAGGGTTAGGGGAAAATAATAAAGGAAAATATATTTTAAAATATATATATTTACAACAAAAATATATGTGGGATTGGAAATGATGCAGACAATCTCATTACAATCTATTTGCAATATTAAAGCTGATCCACCCCCTAGCTGTAATCGCTGCCAAAGGTGCTTCTTCAACGTATTGACTGAGGGGTGTGAAAATGACTGAGGGGTGTGAATACTTATATAAATAAGATATTTCTGTATTTAATTTTCAATACATTTCTAAACACTTCTAAAAACATGTTTTCACTTTGTCATTATAGGGTATTGTGTGTATATGGGTGAGAAAAATATATATTTAATATATTTTGAATTCAGGCTGTAACAAAATGTGGAATAAGTCAAGAGGTATGGAAACTTTGTGAAGGCAGTGTATGTGTTGAGTGCACTCTACGATGGAGAGTTTTGTTATTAGTGATCAATATGTGCACCTCACTTGCTTTTAATTATAAAAACAATCAGCAATATTAGGGAAATTCCTAAAAAAATCAAACAACCCACTGGGCACACACTGGTTGAATCAACATTGTTTCCACATAATTTCAATGAAATTACATTGAACCAACGTAAAATAGATGTTGAATTGAGGTCTGTGCCCAGTGGGAACAGCTATAGGCCTACTTACTATTTAACACAATCTTGCTGCCCTGTAGTATTCTGGTCTTCAGTCTGTGTATGTGAAAAACAAAGCAGAGGGCTACAGGCATAACTCACACAGAGTTTGTTTAGAGCAGAGGCATGTAGGCCTGGCCAGAGTGAACATCATCTGTTATTTACTATCCTGCCTTAGCTGGGCTGGCTGCACCAGTGTTTTATACCGCAGTCGAATATGCACAAATACAGTCTATGACAGCTGGACATGAAACAGGCAGCGGCAGCCATTGCTAATGGCCAAGTTTCTCAGAAGTGAAGGGAGATGCACAGCCACCATGTGTAAAAAAGACATGAACATAGTATATATCTCACTATTGTGTACACACAGACTTTCCATGTAGACCTCTGAGTGAACCTGGGCCTCATTCAAACTGCCGGTAAGTTAAGGGGTTTGGCGGCAGACATTTTAAATGTATACTCTGATTGCCCCCACCCCGTTGGGTACGGTTGTTGGGGAATGAATGCAAAAGTAAACTGATTTGATAATGGATCACTATCAAACACTTATCAAAGTTGTGCACTGTTGGTTCAATGTAATTGTTGGACACTTGAGCTTCAAAAGTCCAGTGGTAGTCACCAAACGTGTATTTACATTGGCATGTCCTTGTCCGGTATGTAAAGCCGTTGTCTATTTCAGGTTCATGCTTTCTTCTTAAAATACTTGTTTTATATAAAAATTCTGTATCTTACCAGTAAGCCATACTCTAATGGCATAGTGTTGAAGTAAGGACTTGATAGTCCCTGTGCAGTCAAAAATGTGATTTCAGTTTTCCCCTCCCCACTCCGATAGTCCTAGAAAAATTATTGCTTGAGAAATTGCTCTTTGCTAAGAAGCTATTTTTGTTTCTTTTTGATCATTTTAATTTTTAAATAATCACAGTAAGGTACTTAATTGTTACCCAGAAATGATTTGATATTGAGATAAAGATGGCTGCATTGGACCTTTATGTTTGGGCTGAGCTGTTGTGGAGTGCTCATACTGCCCCCTTGAGGATATGGGATCATAACACTCCACATGGTTTACTTTGCCGTATTACGTATGATATCAGGGCACCTTCTTTTTAAATAGTGAACGAACATGTTTTCAGCACTTCTATTTCCAAGACTTATCATGGCTCTCTTTCTCTGCAGAAGACATCATATGTTTGGAACATCGAAATCTTACCGCCACCTAAGTATCGCGATAATATCGTATTGTGGGGTCCTTTGCTATTCCCGGCCCTAGTTACAGCCCTACACACACACACACACACACACAAACCAGATCAGACAGCCATAACTCACTGCTAAGCTGAAGAGTCTAGCCTGAGGTTCCCAGTGGAAGGAATGGCCCAATGGGGAGAACATATTTCACAGGACATCGGTTGTAAATATTGTAATGTTTGAGACAAGGACTAGCTACTACAGCATAACAAACTGTCTGACATAGTGAACCCCAATAGCTATTTATACACTAGGAGCTGAACGGTAACCAGACAAATGTGCACTTAATCCAACCAACTTTATTGGGCCATTGGGTAAATTGCCATTACGCCAAAGCCAAAACTAAATGTGCTGAGTCAGCAGAGGCTTTACATGACCTATCATTGTTACAAAAGTAATGTACCCACATCGTAATAATTACATATAACCTCCATCAGTTCTTAGATACCAAAGGAAGGAACATTTTGGATAAAGTTCAATAATATTCTTAAACACAAATTAGCCAACTTTTAGCTACATGAGTTCTCAGAGGTTTCTTCTTATGGACATGCTGATATGATTTATATTATAATGTACAAAACTTTGCCTGAAGTAACTGCAATTTTAGAAATACAAAGTAAATCTGCACATTTCCTCAATATGTAACAATCATTAACAAAATGGTTAACATGTGTTATAAATACACACTGTAAACATATGTTTACAAATGGCAAAGCAAACACACAATAACTGAATACATGAGGCTTCACTGATTGCTTAAACACTTGCATTCTCTCCATTTAGAATATTTTAGAATGTTCTAGAAACTTTAGATGTTTTTAAATAAAAATGAATCCATATAAATTATTCATTTCTCTACAAATAAAACACATTTTATTGACAATATTTATCTTGTCCTTACAGTAAGATGTTGTATGTATTGTAGTACAGGCTGTAATACACAAGAGGGTGCTCTTGGTCAGATTCTTGCAGGAAAATCCACTTTACTGCTGGGAATAATAACAGCATCATTACTCAATCGGTTGCATCTCTTTGTTTCACTGCTTTGAATAATGCGTTAAGGTTTAAGGCATTTTAGTTTGCCTTATGCTTGGGGTGTCCCATACCTTGAAATATACAAGATTAAGAAATTAAAAGAATCATCAATAATTATGTAAAACAATGTGGCATCTGGTAATGCAGAAAGTGCATTTATTCACAAAAAACAATAGAGGGAATTAATGAGGGAATTTGAAATACTTAAAACAAAGTTATCTAGAATAGATTACATGTTCAAACATTAAAATTAATACTGCACAGCAATATTAAGAGTACACATTTTTATATGCTGTATGTGCCTCCTTTTTCGAAGGGGCATGAGTATCAAGTCTTTCCAGATATGAGTTATGAGTAGCACCAGATGGGTCATTGTTTATGTATTTGCACTGCTGTCTGCAAGCCCCTTGTGGGATAAATAAGGTATTTGAAATTGAATTAATTTGATATGAGTTTTTTCTCAGATAAGATCAAAATGTAAGTTAAATTGCAATTCTACACATCCCTGGGGTTTGGTTTTGAAAGCAAATGAAAATCCTCAATTTCAATATTCCGCAAGTCAAATATTCCTTCCTCTGGTTCCTTAAATGGAATAATGGAAATGCATAAGCAGCTCATCACTTCTTTTTTTTTTTTACAACCTAGCGAACACCTTAAAAGGTCAAGTTTAATGTGAAAATAATCTTCAAATTTGATTCAAAAGAACTAAACAAATCATAACCATATGGTTTCGATCTTTTCTTTTATTCTAAATATGATAGGTCAAATGGAGCCATGAGAAAAATATTTTGAAAGAAAACATAAACATTTACTAGAAGAAGACGATTGTAGAGAGCGCAAAAAATAGCAGATTTACTACTCCTTCAAATAGGCTTACCTATTTTGTGTCACAAGACCAGAGCTTCTAAGGTGGTGAAGGATACATACTGTACGTATAAGGCATTTAGGTAGAGTGTCATCAAGAAAATCATGAAACATTCATAAAGATTTACAGCTACAGTCTGCAACTTGGGAAGCTGTTTAATTGTTATTTAAATTCTTGATATTTACCCATTGATTCTTGAAGAATATACTTATAAATGCCTCATGAGCTACAGCACAACATGTCTCAAACTTTCCCTACCCCTATCCTTCAGCTGTATACCAAAACAAGTGGCAGGGACCCTGTAAAAAGAAATCGCAGACTGTAGCTTTAAGAGATTTAAAATGACTTACATACTGTAATAAATGGACAGAATATACACTTTACAACAAGATGACATACACACATAAAGCTATATCAAATTATTACATAAAATATACATTAAACTTCACAAAAAAAGTTACTTAAAAACATGGTCAAGACATTCTGCAGATGGCATTTAACATATGAAAAAATCTTTTAAACACAACATACAAAACATTTGAAGAGAAATGTTTACTTAAAAAGGGCCCAAGGCTTGGTCAGCATAGAAACATTTTAACCATGCAAAAAGCTTTCAAAAGTGACACTTTTTTTTAAATCAATGTTTTATGATAAAATGTGAAGTGAGTAATGTTTTGCCCATTGGAAATCATTAAGTAAGTAATGTTATCATATTACAAACCCTCTCTAGCTGTTATAAAGGATCATCACCAGCCAAAGCTGTCCAAAGCTCCTCCTCTTGTGTCCAAGTCACATTATTCTTCAATTTTGGATTAAAAAGCACATTTCATCAAATCAACCACTTTTGTTTCATTATTTCGTTTAATATGGTTGACCATCTGTTGATTTTAATGCCTAAGGTATTTGTTCCGTCCACCCGGCTGTCTGTGAACAGATAAAATCCTGTCTAAAACTTGCACGTTGAAGTGCTTTATTTTGTCACTTTAGATGAGAATAATAAAATGTCAAGAAGTGAAATGCCAGGATGGGTTGGCCACCCTCAGTTTAGAAAATACAAAGGATGCCACTTAGATGATACATTGTCTCTTCTGATTTCCATCTATAAAATGTAAAAAAGCAGTGTCTTCTTTCCATTTCCATTTACACTGTCTTCCATGGTCTCTGACCTGATGACCTGATTGCACAAGCACTGAACATAAGCGTGTTACTAGTTCTTCCTTTCCAGGTAGTTTGAGGGGACCCAGCCTTTCCGAGGTCGACCTCCATCCAGGATCTGGCAGTACCACCACCCATTAGGGTTCCTCTCCAGAACCTCCAGAGTCGTTCCTTCAGGGAACCCCATGGTCTCCTCATCACCATGGTAATCTGCTATGGAGACATACACCTCACGGAGGTTGTTGTGGATGAGGTGGGGTTTGGGTTTCACAGTGGAAACAGGTAGACCGTTCCTCTGAGACCCCCGGCCCAGTGATTCGGAGCTGCCCGTGCCGGGTCTGTTCCGGTTCGCCATGTTACCGTTCGGCGCTGGGCCCCGCGTAGCTGTACCAAAGGAAGCATTGCGGCGCACAGTAGGACTAGAGCGTGGGTGGTCGGTGGAGTTGAGTGACTCGCCCCTCCTAAGGGAGCCGACTGTGTTTGGGCTGTCGATGATCGGCCCGGAGATGAAGACAGACTGAGGCCTGACCACCTGCTGCTGTTTCGTACCATTCCTCTGCTTGTGCAAGCTGTTGAACAGGACAAAGGGCTTGGAGAGCCCCCCCGGCGGTTTGGAGGGGATGGGAGGTGTGCTCCTCTTCAGGCTCTGGTTGATGTTGTTCAGGGCCTGGACCCTCTGCTCGTTCTTCTCCAGGCTGTTGGACTTGCTCAGGCTGCCCGGCTTGGTAGGGGTGCCATCGGACTCGGACCCAGCTGTGTCGTCCAGTTGCCTGACAGGCTCCAGGTAGTAGGTTGGAGCCCAGCCCTCAGCGTCGCCCCAGCGGACGTACCACCAGCCGCTCTCCTGCTTCTCCAGCACCTCCACTTCCACCCCAGCAGGGAAGCTCATCTCTGAGTCCTGGACCTTCTTATAGGTGTCTGTGGTGCGGTAGAGGCTGCAGCCCTCGTCTGAGTCGCCACGGCTGCCTTTAGAGTAGATGGAGGAGAGGTCGGAGGTGCTGTGGGAGGACACAGAGTCCTCAGAGGAGATGACAGAGGCTGTTTCAAAGTCTTCTCCTCTGGAGCCCTTCTTCAGCTGCCCTGTAGGCCTCAGCTGTCTCCGGAGGCTGCTGATGTCCATCTTCTCTGCACTGGAGGCCTTGGCCAGCTGGGGCTTAGGCCTGACCACTGGCTTAGGTTTAGTAGATGACTTGGTGGAACCCATTCTGTGTTCCTCTTTGTCCTTCTTGGGCCTGGACTGCTTGGATAAATCTGGGGTGGACTCTGTGGAGGCAGGTTTGGGGCTGGACGCCCCAGCCTCTGCTTTGGTTGGAGAATGGGACTGGCTTCCGTTCAGCTCCAGCTGGATATTCTTCCCTTTTCTCCTTGCCCCCAATGTGGAGTGAGAGTTTTCAGCCTTGCTAGTCTCCAACTGGGCGCTCATCTTCGGGGAGTCCAAGTCGCCACTGGATTGTGTATCAGGCATCTCTCTGAAAGGCTTGAAGCCATCATTCTCATAGATACACTCCTCTCCCTCAGGCTCCTCTTCTTCCTGCCCCACGTCCTCTGACGACTCACCCATCTTGAAGGAGGCGCTGTGGAGAGAAGAGGCTGGAGACGGCTTGGAGGACAGATGAGAGCCCTTCTCTGAGGAGCCATCCTCATTCTTCCCATCCACAGAGGACCCATCTGTCCTGAGGAACTCAAACTCTGACTCCAGATCAAACCCAATGGCAGGAATGTCATATTCTGGCTCCTCGTACACAGGCCTCCCAGGAGATCCAGGGGACTCTGGAGCCTCGGACCCAGGGCTGCTGGGAGGGGCGGTTTCGTCAGAGTCCTGCTTCTTGACGGGCGGGGCTGGGGGCGGGACTTTGGGGCGGCTCAGAGTGCTGGTTCTGCGGTTTAGGTTGGGCTTCTTTCGTTTGTCGATGTAGGAGCAGGGAGCCCACCCCTCTTTCTCCCCGATCTGGACATACCACCAGCCACCAGAGTTCTTCTCGATCACCTACAGGACAGAATAGAGAGAATACATGGGGAGAAATAGGCCTCATTAACTACATGCAGTATCTGTTCATTTCAAGAAAACAATAAACACATTGGACATGTATGCACTCCAAAATAAACATGAAAAAAGCTTACGTCTGCTTTCTGCCCTCCATTAAAACTAATGCCATCTGAAATGACAGACTGGAACTCTGCAATGGTATAGTACTCTGCTTCAACAGTAGGTGGCTCTGGTGGTGAGGGTAAATTGGATCCCTGAGTGGAAAAAATGTTACAACATTATGAATATTGTGCAGTTGATACTGTTTACACTAGAACTGCCTGGCCTTTGAGCCTATAAGTACCCACTATGAAACGTTGATAACGTTGCCGGGTGTCACCTTTAGCAGACGCATCAGATGCATATCAACCCGCAAGGTGCGCAAACATAAGCACCAACGCTTGATAAATAGTGCATAAACAATTGTAAACCATGAATTGAATGAAGAAATATCAGTGGAAACATATCCATGCAAAAATATAACAACCGTTATTTATTTAGATAGAGTAAAGGATATGTTTTGTATAATTCTACAAAGTCCTAGTGAAAAACATAGGCCTAAAGCCAATTTAGGACACTTCCAGCCAATGATGTATCAACAACATTCGAACAGTCTAATAAATACATTTCATATATGCTATCAGAAGAATAATCATTTGGTTGTGTTTATAAAGGTCTTAGGTAACATTAGAATACTAAAAAACAATTATTTCAAAGAACATAATAGCATTTTCATTAGTTTATAAGTAAAAACGAAAAACCACTAGGTCAAGTCCATCACAAAGAAATCCATTATAATTCAGTTTTGGCAGGTCAAAATAAACATTGTGGAAATAAGAAAATGTATTTAAATGAAAACAGAATAGCATGCTTTAAGTTTATTATGTTACTAGTCTTTGCTTAGTAGTCAGAGCAATGCCGCAGCATAATGTGCTGATGCCATGGACAGCGCAGATATTCTTGGAAAAAGTGACATTTTTAAATAGAGCTGCACCTCTTGAATTTTGAGAGTTATTTGACAAAGGTAAGTGTCATAGAAACTGCAGAATATGATCTTTCTGATACTATATAGAAATCAAAACGTTTTACATGCATGTGACTCTGAAGTAGGATTTGATAAAGTGATGCTCTTTTCCCTGCATCTGTCAATTACAAGCTGTGCCCATCTCTTCATGTACTATTTGACAACTGATAATATTGTCACTCATCAGACTATTGTCAATTTAATCTTGTCTATAGGCTAACTCTTATTTTGTGTGAAATGAGTTTCTATATAGTTTAGGTGTAGTTTTGATGGGCCGGCGGCACAGGCTGACGGGCATTATTTGTTTCCCCGCTCATCAACTTAGATAAAGTCACGGATGTTTTGCATTATTCTAAAGGCCTACTGCAACATGTAGCATGTTTTCATTTCCCTTACAATAAATGTGATAAGTAATAGAGTTATAATAAATCAAACAGTCCCGTAATACTGTAGATTATTTTTAAATAATAGTAAATAGTAAAAGAGAAAGGTATCAACCCGCAAGGCACGGTCAAATTATACAATTATTGAGCCCCAACGCTGATAAATAGGCATAATACAAACTCATTATTACACTATTGTCTTTCTAATTTAAATCAACCTCTTCACCCTCCTTATCATTCAGTTAGGCCTAATTTAAATTCAATTGTGAAGTAACTTGCACAATTATCGCAGATTCATCCATTTGTCATTCAGTGAGGAGAGAGAGACACATTAGCACCTGGCTGGGTACCAACGTCCTACAGTGCATTGTCTTGGCGGGTGATTTAAAAACTCGGACAAATGAGCAATGTAAAATATATACAAACATTTTGGAAAAGTCAGGGAAGGAGCAGGACGTAGCATTTTTTGGGGGGCATTTTTTTATAGATAAAAAAAATAATCAAAAAGCAGTGGCCATTGGCCTATGGCGTTCTAGTGTTAAAAGGAAACAATAACAATGGTCAAATACAGTCCAACTTTCAACTTAAACTAAGTAATGTTTATTTTCATACTGACCAGAGTTGCATCTCTTCGAGGTGGTGGCTTTTGTCTGAGGATTGGGGAGCCTAGATAGAAGAAAATGAGATTGTGATATAAATTCTGTGAATGTATTAGTTTAACAAACCGCTATGCCTTCCAATTCCATCTCTGAATGACAACTCACCGATCTCTATTCTGTGAGGAGTGATGCGGGCTATGGCTGGAGAGGCCGGTTCTGCTTTGCCCTTTCCGTCCACCAGGGCGGCACCAGGGCTGAAGTCCGAGCTAGAGCAGGGTTTGGGCAGGCTGATCTGCCTCTTGGCCAAGGAGAGGGTGGTCAGGGGGGTGTCCTCTGGCTGGCCGTCCGTCTGCACGTCCTTCTCACTCAGGGCCTTCTTGTTGAGCAGGTTGCTGATCTCCATGATGTTGCCGATTATCTCCACCGGGCCAGTCAAGGGGTTCTTCTTATTACTACTACGGGGAGAGAAATCCTCCTTCACCTTCTTCAGGTAGGAGGCCGGGGCCCAGCCCTCCTTATCCTGGTACCTGGGGAGAGAGAAGGAGAGAGGAAGGGAGGATGGAAGGAAAGGGAAGAGGGGGTGATCATGAGTGAGAATAACCAATCAAGAGACAGCATCAACAGGCAACAGTTTATATTGTGGTTGGAGCACAAATCATGGCCTTACCTAATGAACCACCAGCCCTCCAGGTTCTTCTGGATGACCTCCACGATGACTCCTTTCTCAAAGGCGATCTCATCCTTCCCCTCGCTGCTGTACGGCTGCACTGTCATATACTTCTCCTCTGTCGGGCCACAGAGGGCATGGGAACACAAGAGACTCACGTCAGTTTCAAACTTCCTATGCTGATTCTACAACAAAACATTACTCAAACAAATGTAAAATATGTCAACATTTTATAGGAGGTAGGGGAGAACAGTGTTGATTGTCACACCTTTGACCAAATTGTGTATTTCTCAGCACCAGTATATCTTACAATACTATTTTCAATGTTAGGAGAAAGACCAAGGTCTTGGGTTGAAATGGGGGACCCTTTTTATCCTCATAACTTATTCAAATATGGCGTTATAAGCCATCAAACAGATTCTGTCCACTTGTGACACCCAGCTTCATCCTGGGGTTGGTTGTCACACAGTACGGGGTTGGTTGTCACAGTGTTTGCCATTTGTTTTTCAGCAACAATTGAAGTTTTAGAAAAAGTAAAGCCTTTATTTATTGAACAGTATTTCTATCTAACATCATACAAATAAATACATGAAAATAAATTCAACATAGTTTAATATTTGTTTTGACATTGTAGTTCTTTCTCCACTCAAATCGTCATATCAATGCTTTATAAAACAACAGTAACCATCTGATATTTGGATGAACAATTAATATTTTGATAAAGCTGTAAACATTTGTGTTAACAATTTTTTTGTTGTTGTTGAAAACAAGGAATGCTTTTTCAAACAGGAACAGTATACAGTAGAGTACAGTACAGTAGAGTACAGTACAGTAGAGTACAGTAGAGTACAGTACAGCAGAGTACAGTAGAGTACAGTAGAGTACATACAGTACGTACAGTACAGTACAGTAAAGAAGTAGAGTAAAGAAAGGTAAAGTAGAGTATAGTTCGGTACAGTACAGAAGTAGAGTAAAGAAAGGTAAAGTAGAGTATAGTTCGGTACAGTACAGAAGTGTAGAGTACAGCACAGTAAGGTAGAGTACAGTAACACACTGTATTGTATCCTACTGTACTCTACTATGTTTTACTGTACTGCACTATACTGAATTCAACTGTACTCTATGGCACTGTACTGCACTGTACTCTTAAATACTGTACTCTACTGAATTAAACTCAACTGTACTGTACTCTACTTTGCTCTACTGTACTGTACTCTACTGAATTAAACTGCATGGCACTGTACTCTAATATACTGTACTCTACTGAATTAAACTCTATTGTACTGTATTTTGCTCTACTGTACTCTACTGAATTAAACTGTACTGTACTGTACTGCACTGTACTCTGTTGAATTAAACTCTACTAGACTGTACTGTGCTGTGCTTTACTGTGCTGTCCAAACTTGTGAAACACATACGCTACCAGTCAAAAGTTTGGACACACCTACTCATTTTCTACATTGTAGAATAATAGTGAAGACATCACAACTATGAAATAACACATATGGAATCACGTAGTAACCAAAAAAGTGTTAAACAAATCAAAATATATTTTATATTTGAGATTCTTCAAATAGCCACCCTTTGCCTTGATGACAGCTTTGCACACTCTTGGCATTCTCTCAACCAGCTTCATGAGGTAGTCACCTGGAATGCATTTCAATTAACAGGTGTGCCTTCTTAAAAGTTAATTTGTGAAATGTATTTCCTTCTTAATGTGTTTGAGCCAATCAGTTGTGTTGTGACAAGGTAGGGGGGGGGGAACTGGCTCTCATGAGGACCGCCAGAGGATAAGTTCATTAGAGTTACCAGCCTCAGAAATTGCAGCCCAAATAAATGCTTCATAGAGTTCAAGTAACAGACACATCTCAACATCAACTGTTCAGAGGAGACTGTGTGAATCAGGCCTTCATGGTCGAATTGCTGCGAAGAAACCACTACTAAAGGACACCAATAATAATAAGAGACCTGCTTGGGGCAAGAAACACGAGCAATGGACATTATACCGGTGGAAATTTGAGCTTTTTGGTTCAAACCGCCGTGTATTTGAGAGACGCGGTGTGGGTGAACGGATGATCTCAGCATGTGTAGTTCCCACCATAAAGCATGGAGGAGGAGGTGTTATGGTGTGGGGGTGCTCTGCTGGTGACACTGTCTGTGATTTATTTCGAATTCAAGGCACACTTAACCAGAATGGCTACCACAGGATTCTGCAGCGATACGCCATCTGGTTTGGGCTTAGTGGGACTATCATCTGTTTTTCAACAGGACAATGACCCAACACACCTCCAGGCTGTGTAAGGGCTATTTTACCAAGAAGGAGAGTGATGAGTGCTGCATCAGATGACCTGGCCTCCACAATCCCCCGACCTCAACCCAATTGAGATGGCAGCCAACAAGTGCTCAGCATATGTGGGAACTCCTTCAAGACTGTTGGAAAAGCATTCCAGGTGAAGCTGGTTGAGAGAATGCTATTTGAAGAATCTCAAATATAAAATATATTTTGATTTGTTTAACACTTTTTTGGTTGCTACATGATTACATATTTGTTATTTCATAGTTTGATGTCTTCACTATTATTCTACAATGTAGAAAATAGTAAAAATAAAGAAAAACCCTTGAATGAGTAGGTGTGTTCAAACTTTTGACTGGTACTATACGTCTTTTCAGCGTCCGGAAAATAAGTCTTCAAGGCGTCTTTTCAACGTCATTTAGATTATGGGTACATTGTTACAATGGGGACGGTTGTCAGATTGTGACAAGCACCCAAACATCAATGTGACAACCATCCCCAACGCTAATTAAGATGCTAGTTACCACATGGCTTGACCTAGGAACTCACAAATAGGCTTGAAATAAAGCTCCCTTTCCTCTTTTCAATACAAGTTACAAAGTATGGATACTCCCCTCATACAACTATTAATTAAATAAATAACAAGCATATGAATATTTACTTTCACAGATGAAAAATGTTGCTCTCACCTGAATGTTTTGTGATCCTGACCTGAATTGACCACACGGATTACCTCTCCTATAGAGGACGCACATTTTGATCTTGAAATGATTAGGGTCAGAGGATAGAGGGATGAGGGGTGAAGGAAGAGGAGGAGGTGGGCCCCCTGTCAGATCACCTCGGCTCTGCTGCCTCCCTTGGATTTTGAGTAATAAGCACTATGACAACCAACCCGTGAGACAACCAACCCCGGTCTCCCTACTGTAACAATGGTATAAACACCTCAGAGGAAGTCAAAGTAAATAAAGACATATCTAGGAAAAGTCAAGGGGTGTGAATATTTTCTGAAGGCACTGTATCTAGGCTACAAATATAGAAGTATGTAGACCTAATGAAATGTGTCTGTGTGTAGTTCTGATGTGATTGATTCTGTCAGATCTACAAAGATATCCAGCATTTTACTATCAAATAATTCAAAGAATCAGGGACACTCTAATTAACAAAAATGATGTCAATCACTTCATACTGAAAATGCAATCCTGCAGCAACTGACAATTACCTTGACTTGATGTCATGATAGTTGATTACTCAGTGTGAATATGGGACAAAATAAACTCATAAACCCTGGTCTCTTGAAATGGGAAAAACAGTTCTACCCCACTGGGCACACACTGGTTGAATCAACGTTGTTTCCATGTCATGTCAATGAAATTACGTTGAACCAACGTGGAATAGACGTTGAATTGATGTTGACTAATGTCGTGGTGGCGCTCAGTCTCTGTACACTCCGCTGATGATAGAGAACAGAGATGCCATCTTGATTTGTAACTTCCCAAAAGGCCAGAGGGCACGCTCAGTGACAGTACTTCCTGTCATTGCAGACCAGATGTCTCATCTCATCACACCGTAAAACGGCAGGAGAAAAGTAATGATGCCCAACAGAGTAAAGAGAGAAGAGGGGATATCCTATCTGCATGCTAAGACCATTTTAATACCTCTGGAATCACTGGATTCCTATCTGATATCTCTCTCCTTTCCTCTGCCCCTGTTGAGTCTCAATCAGGGATTTAGAAGAACTGAATAAGGATATAGCTAAAATACCTATTACTTTCAAAGAAATAGGCCCATGTACAGCCGTGTAAATAGAACTGAAAAAACCACTTCCTGTATGCTTTGCTTTCCCCTGCACTGACCTATGGGACTTCCGGTCTCTCGGTTTAAGGCCTGGTAGGGCTTTAAAGGTTGAACAGGGGCAACCCTGTTCAACCTTCCTGAGCTCACACTCACCAGCGGGGGGAAACTCTGAATCAGATATTATGTTAACCACAACATGCATAGCTTGCATAACTTTTATACACTATTTTCCTGCAGTCAGCGCTATTTCTGCTTTTTTTTCACAGGCGAGATTTAGTTCCTGCAGTGGAAAAAGCTCTTTCTACTCTGGAGGCCATTCATTTTTTTGTGCACTGTAGACACTGTTGCCAAGCACAAACCTTGGGGTGGACTCAAATAGCCTATCCTCACTCCACTGTCAGCAATCCAACTGCATCCCCTGTCAAAAAAAACCTGTCTCGAGGCAAGGCTAATGTGTGCAAGCACAAACACTCTTTCTCCGAAAGATGAATACAACTCTTTACTGGCCTGGTCCATCGGCAGACCTGCTTGCTCTCAACACCTCCAGTCGATAAACGTCTGGCTTTTTAACTCCTTTGAAAAGTACATACGTGTTCATGTTTCATTTGCTCGTAAAAAGCCAAACAAAGTGGCAAAATATTGTATGCGGCCTACTAAAGTCAGTTATGCTGCGACTTTTAGATGGTTGTGCAGCTATAGCTGTAATTCAGAAAAGATTGGAGTTACACATAGCAGTGTATTAAAATTAACTGCTTACATGAGACAATCTCATTATATACTGTAATATAATTTCACTCAACTTCCTGAAATAAAAGTTGCTGACTTCATCTTTGATTTCAAGACTACCACATTCAAGTGTAGAAACTGAGTAACAACAAGATGGTACATTTTTTGCATGTTTATCTTCTAGCATAAGGTCAAATCTGTAACTGTTGCAAGCCGCCAATGTGGATGTGAAAACCTATTTAGCATGGTAATGACATGGCTGGACTTTTTATTAGCTGGTTAATAACAATGTTAGTGATTATTGGGTGTGGGTCATGATGGTGTAGCAGATGGCATATGACACAAGACAATACATTAGGCATCAGGTATAGGGTTGCAAAGCGAGGGTATTTTACTAGAAACTTTAGAAGTTTATCTGTAAACTACCAGGTAACTTTCAAGGATTTTATGTAATTTATCACAAGACATCTAGTAGCCCTTTTGGGTATGTCAAATGATCACAGGTGTCTGTACAAAGATTAAAATAATAATAATAATAATAATAATAATAATAATAATAGAATGACAAAGCTGTAAAACATTATCCTAAATATAAACCATCAACTTAGTGAATACCATTGGTCTTTAATGAGGGTTTCAGTATGAAATATTCTTGATATATATATATATATATAGACATATTTACATAGTAAAATAAATACAAGTGTGTAAAAAAAATAATATATATATATATATATATATATATATATATATATATATATAGAGAGAGAGAGAGAGAGAGAGAGAGAGAGAGCAAGAGCGTCTGCTAAATGACTAAAATGTAAATGTAAATATATATATATTTTACACACTTGTATTTATTTTACTATGTAAATATGTCTTTGTTGTAAATGTTATGGTGCCAAACTGGTGGCAGTTGTGAAAAAAGTCAATAGTTGGAAGAGTTGCAGAGTTAATTGAAAATAATGCCATTATTGTTAAGATGCTTTGTTCATTAATTAGGCTATTTTCTGTTGAACCATATGGTCTATCCACTAGAAACTCATGGACAATATGGACAAAGATAAAACATTTACACTTTATATGAATAAATGTTTTTAAAGTTATTCAAGTATAAATTATCAAAATTACCATAGATTGCCATAATTACTGAAGATTCTGTAAACTTTGGTGAATTACCAGTAGCTTTTCAACCCTAATCAGGTATGAGAGAGAAGACAGGACAAGGTACAATGGGGACAGGATAAGAGGACAGGTGAGGGGTCAGAGGATAGAGGGGTGAAGGAAGAGGAGGAGGTGGGCCCCCTGTCTCAGATCACCTCGGCTCTGCTGCCTGCTGACCATTCCCCCCAGGGTCCATCTCCGGTCCAGCCTCTTCAGATGGGCCTTACGTCGCTTAGTGACTGACCCACGCACATGGTGACCAGACACAAACAAACACAAATGGGGACAGAAACATAAAAGGCAGGCACATACATCACAAACGACATGGATTCAACTCTGTTATTAGTTAGTCACATGGCGAACATGGAAACCACAACACCACATTGCAATGGAAGGACTGGACGGTGATGGGGGTGAATGAATGTTACACAGGAAATGTAAACCATGGACATGTTCTCTGTGGCTGGTGATTAGTGTGGATTGTTAGCATGGTTTCCCCATCCTGTCCTGCAGGAGCATCTGGGGCACACATTGCTGCTTGGGAATAGTATGCAATTAATAGACCAGCTGAATTCCTTTGGCAGCAGCCACAACAGGTCTATAATTGTTGAGGGTTTTTGTTAGTTAAATGCAGGAGACGGGAATGATTAGGAGCTTCGGAGGGATCTTTTGTCACATGCCAACACTATAAACGGCAAGGCTTATATAAATATCTAATTCAAGGAAAAGCTTTCCATCTCTAAACCAGAGCACTAATCTCAACATTTAGCATGAAGTTGAGATTTCAGGCAAAACTTGAGAGGTACGTACACTGGGAGCTGAAAAACTGAAATTACAAACTTGTATTTTTCAGCTGACCCACATACTCCTCCAGAACACTAATGTCAGAAGACAGAATGATAACCATTATATTGGATGAGTCCATCTGAGAAGGCCTATCATAGGTATTACAGAACTCAATAAAATAAAAACTAATGATGAAATATGACCACCCCAAGTAGGAACACATCCAAGTGTTTCTCATGCATGTGACAGTCTTTCTCCAATGAGGAAGAGATTCACCATTTAAACTGTCATATCCTCCAGTCCAAACGTCAACATCTTTAGCTGAAGCCATATAATGTGTTCCAGGTCCTGTTTGCCACAAGAGCCCCATCTCAATGACAGTGTCTGACAGAGTGCTGTGGAGCACAATCCACAGGACTGACAGAGAGAGTTTATGGATCCTGTGGCATTCCCATGACTGATTAGACACATAAATGCTAATTACACTGACAGATTGTCCCCTGACCGCTCTGGCAGCGTCTGCTTTTGCGTTGAGTAGATAGCTAGAGTACTTTAGTGTGTGTGTGTATGTGTGTGTGTGTGTGTGTGTGTGTGTGTGTGTGTATGTGTGTGTGTGTGCATGCCTGCATTTGTGGGGGCACACTTGTGGGGTTTGTGTAAATGTGAAAATCCAGAAAGCTGTCTCACTAACAGGGAGATGCATTCCTTGTTTAAAAAAAAAACTTTAATAAGGAATGGATATGCATTTTGGATGCAGGCCTTGGGAGGAAGAAGCCCATTGAGAATACTTTGTAACTATTGGACTAAAGAGGCTAATTCAGTGCATCATGTGCTGTATGCCATCTCCTCTCTCCTCCAGTAAAAAGATCTACAGTGCCAGGGGGAATGTGCAGGGCCGGTGCCAGAACGAATCAGTTGGACGGGCACTTGATTTCCATAGGAAGGCACGTTTTAACTTTGTATTTTTTTATGGGTTTTATAGTAAAGACATGTAATTTAACTGTAAAAATGTATTACCTTTCAATTTGTCATGAACTCAACCAGTCATGATGTTTTCATTTGATTGTCAAACAAATCACTTCAAGAAGTAGGCTACCTTCGGACGTTCATCCATAATAATTCCAGAATCCAAACAGTGCACTCACCAACTTTTCTTAACTTCGCAAGTGGCTGAAACTTTGTCACCGGAGAAAGCATCCGAGCGAGTGAAACAGTGCCCATCTATTTTACTATATGTAGCCCATGTATCTGATGCCGTCTGGCGAAAAACAGTATGACATGCAATAGTATTTTTAGACAGACAGCATAAGATAAAGTGTCTTGCGAAAGTATTCATCCCCCTTGGCATTTTTCCTAGTTTGTTGCCTTACAACCTGGAATTAAAATAGATTTTGGGGGGGGTTGTATCATTTGATTTACACAACATGCCTACCACTTTGAAGATGCAAAATATTTGTCCTTGTGAAACAAACAAGAAATAAGAAAAAAACAAAAACATTGAGCGTGCATAGCTATTCATCCCCCCCAAAGTCAAAACTTTGTAGAGCCACCTTTTGCAAGAATTACAGCTGCAAGTCTCTTGGGGGATGTCTCTTTAAGCTTGGCACATCTAGCTACTGGGATTTTGGCCCATTCTTCAAGGCAAAAGTGCTCCAGCTCCTTCAAGTTGGATAGGTTCCGCTGGTGTACAGCAATCTTTAAGTCATACAACAGATTCTCAATTGGATTGAGGTCTGGGCTTTGACTAGGCCATTCCAAGACATTTAAATGTTTCCCCTTAAACCACTCAAGTGTTGCTTTAGCAGTATACTTAGGGTCATTGTCCTGCTGGAAGGTGAACCTCTGTCCCAGTCTCAAATCTCTGGAAGACTGAAACAGGTTTCCCTCAAGAATTTCCATATATTTAGCGCCATCCATCATTCCTTCAATTCTGACCAGTTTCCCAGTCCCTGCCGATGAAAAACATCCCCACAGCATGATGCTGCCACCACCATGCTTCACTGTGGGGATGGTGTTCTCGGGGTGATGAGAGGTGTTGGGTTTGCGCCAGACATAGCGTTTTCCTTGATGGCCAAAAAGCTCAATTTTAGTCTCATCTGACCAGAGTACCTTTTTCCATATGTTTGGGGAGTCTCCCACATGCCCTTTGGCAAACACCAAACGTGTTTGCTTATTGTTTTCTTTAAGCAATGGCTTTTTTCTGGCCACTCTTCCGTAAAGCCCAGCTCTGTGGAGTGTACGGCTTAAAGTGGTCCTATGGACAGATACTTCAATCTCCACTGTGAAGCTTTGCAGCTCCTTCAGGGTTATCTTTGGTCTCTTTGTTGCCTCTCTGATTAATGCCCTCCTTGCCTGGTCCGTGAGTTTTGGTGGGCGGCCCTCTCTTGGCAGGTTTGTTGTGGTGCCATATTCTTTCCATTTTTTTATAATGGATTTAATGGTGCTCCGTGGGATGTTCAAAGTTTCTGATATTTTTTTATAACCCAACCCTGATCAGTACATCGCCACAACTTTGTCTGACCTGTTTGGAGAGCTCATTGGTCTTCATGGTGCCGTCTTGCTTGGTGGTGCCCCTTGATTAGTGGTGTTGCAGACTCTGGGGCCTTTCAGATCAGCTTTATACAGTGGGGAGAACAAGTATTTGATACACTGCCGATTTTGCTGGTTTTCCTACTTACAAAGCATGTAGAGGTCTGTAATTTCTATCATAGGTACACTTCAACTATGAGAGATGGAATCTAAAATCCAGAAAATCACATTGTATGATTTTTAAGTAATTAATTTGCGTTTTATTGCATGACGTAAGTATTTGATACATCAGAAAAGCAGAACTTAATATTTGGTACAGAAACCTTTGTTTGCAATTACAGAGATCATACGTTTCCTGTAGGTCTTGACCAGGTTTGCACACACTGCAGCAGGGATTTTGGCCTACTCCTCCATACAGACCTTCTCCAGATCCTTCAGGTTTCGGGGCTGTTGCTGGGCAATACAGACTTTCTGCTCCCTCCAAAGATTTTCTATTGGGTTCAGGTCTGGAGACTGGCTAGGCCACTCCAGGACCTTGAGATGCTTCTTACGGAACCACTCCTTAGTTGCCCTGGCTGTGTGTTTCGGTTCGTAGTCATGCTGTAAGACCCAGCCACGACCCATCTTCAATGCTCTTACTGAGGGAAGGTTGTTGTTGGCCAAGATCTCGCGATACATGGCCCCATCCATCCTCCCCTCAATACGGTGCAGTCGTCCTGTCCCCTTTGCAGAAAAGCATCCCCAAAGAATGATGTTTCCACCTCCATGCTTCACGGTTGGGATGGTGTTCTTGGGGTTGTACTCATCCTTCTTCTTCCTCCAAACACGGCAAGTGGAGTTTAGACCAAAAAGCTCTATTTTTGTCTCATCAGACCACATGACCTTCTCCCATTCCTCCTCTGGATCATCCAGATGGTCATTGGCAAACTTCAGACGGGCCTGGACATGCACTGGCTTGAGCAGGGGGACCTTGTGTGCGCTGCAGGATTTTAATCCATGACGGCGTAGTGTGTTACTAATGGTTTTCTTTGAGACTGTGGTCCCAGCTCTCTTCAGGTCATTGACCAGGTCCTGCCGTGTAGTTCTGGGCTGATCCCTCACCTTCCTCATGATCATTGATGCCCCACGAGGTGAGATCTTGCATGGAGCCCCAGACAGAGGGTGATTGACCGTCATCTTAAACTTCTTCCATTTTCTAATAATTGTGCCAACAGTTGTTGCCTTCTCACCAAGCTGCTTGCCTATTGTCCTGTAGCCCATCCCAGCCTTGTGCAGGTCTACAATTGTATCCCTGATGTCCTTACACAGCTCTCTGGTCTTGGCCATTGTGGAGAGGTTGGAGTCTGTTTGATTGAGTGTGTGGACATGTGTCTTTTATACAGGTAACGAGTTCAAACAGGTGCAGTTAATACAGGTAATGAGTGGAGAACAGGAGTGCTTCTTAAAGAAAAACTAACAGGTCTGTGAGAGCCGGAATTCTTACTGGTTGATAGGTGATCAAATACTTATGTCATGAAATAAAATGCAAATTAATTGCTTAAAAATCATATAATGTGATTTTCTGGATTTTTGTTTTAGATTCCGTCTCTCACAGTTGAAGTGTACCTATGATAAAAATTATAGACCTCTACATCCTTTGTAAGTAGGAAAACCTGCAAAATCGGCAGTGTGTCAAATACTTGTTCTCCCCACTGTATATACTGAGATCATGTGACACTTAGATTGCACAAAGGTGGACTTTATCACGGGGGACCAGTATGAAAATGTATGCACTAACTGTAAGTCGCTCTGGATAAGAGCTAATGACTAAAAATGTAAAAAAATATTTAACTAATTATGTGACTTCTGAAGGTAATTGGTTGCACCAGATCTTATTTAGGGGCTTCATAGCAAAGGGGGTGAATACATATGCACGCACCACTTTTCTGTTATTTATTTTGTATACTTTTTTGAAATAAGTAATTTTTTTCATTTCACGTCACCAATTTCGACTATTTTGTGTATGTCCATTACATGAAATCCAAATAAAATCAATATAAATTACAGGTTGTAATGCAACAAAATAGGAAAAACACCAAGGGGGATGAATACTTTTGCAAGGCACTGTACATGGGCTACAAATACTGAGACAGGTGTGCTATTTCGCTCGCTCGGATGCTTTAACTGAAATTGATGTGTCTTGCTGTCGGCGCGCGTCTCAGTCAAATAAATTATAAATATTTATATATTTTATTTGGACGGGAAAGAAGGTACGGTAGGGCGGGCCAGGCCCCCTAAGGCCCGCCCATAACGCCGGCCCTGGGAATGTGGGTCACAGTGTTTTGGAGTCGACACGCGGTACAGTAAATGATGTTTTGGCCAGAGTGCTGGAAAATCTGAATGTTTGTTTGGAACAGTAAGATGCAAGTAAATTATTTCCATGCTTAAAGTTTCTTCTCTTCAAACTACATGAAATGCATTACAGATGTACTATAGATATTATGCCTACTGTAAAATAATGACCAATACAGTTGTGGCCTTTTCCAAGATATTTGCACCCTGTCTGTGAGAGAGTGGAGAGTGAAAATGCTAAGGCACTAAAGGTAAAGCCTCTCGATATTGAGAATGGCTAGATTGTGACATAGCTTGGACTGCAACATAACAACTATTTAGCTTAACCCATGCTGTTATGATGATTTCATGAGTAGATCCCAATTTTATGTTAGCATGGTCTTTTGGCAAACAAACCTCTTGTTTAGGTTTGTTTCTTGTCAGGTTTTTGGATCTTAACGCAGAAATATAGCAGCACACAACCATAGCAGACAGAGCAACATTCATCACCACCTTCTAGTTTTGTCTTATGATCGGTCTGTATGAATTTATCTCAGGGCCCGGAATAATTAACGTCAGACATTACTTTACTAGTGACTGACTCACATAAACATCTTCCGCATAGCTCAATCCCTACGGTGAACCAAACATGCACCTCTTACATTCGTTCACCGTCCAAAACTCCAAGGAGGTAACCTCTTTTTAGTATAGAATTTCTACACTGCTACTGTACAGTACGTTACTCAATGCACTTCAGCCCGGAGTTGTGGCTTAGGCCCTGGCAATCCTTCTCCAGGCTATTTACTCAGGGCTGAATCTGGAGCTTGTTCGGGGGTGCTTAAAGTGGACAACAGCACAGAGAAGGGTGTTCACACTGGGGGAACATGGGACGTTAGCGTCAGTTGGGGGTGGGAGTCAGACTACTTTACCCTTTTAGACATTTGGGGGGGGGGGGGGGGGGGTGTTGGCGGTCTTGTAGTTTGTAGGTCCCCAAATGTTGTGTACAATCTTTCTTTCTGTATTCATATTGGTGTGGAGCTCTTACCTTCCCCGGACTTGGAGGCGCCCAGCTCCAGGTCATCTCGTGTGTTGCTGTGGGTGTTCAGGTAGGTGGCAGGGACCCAGCCCTGCTCCTCCGCTGTACTGACAAACCACCAGCCTGGGGGCACAGAGAGAGGGAGGTCAATGGAGGTACTGTAATGTAAAAAGTGATACACTCTCCAGTTCATACAGTACCTGGTAAATTACTGGTTATTCATTGCCTGATGGAATATACCCCTACCCTGACAATTCCAATTATAGAAAACTAATTTAGTATTAAATCAATTAACATTGGGACTTGCATTAGACGAGACAGATTTTGTGGGGTGTTCTGTCAACATGACTAGCACAGCATCTTTCAGTACGGTTTATAATATAATCTGATAAAGGACTTTAGAGGAGTGTTCCTCCTCCTTTTCAAGAATAATGTATGTTCTAGTTAATAGACCCTGATTCAAAAGAGTTTATTGGATGACTTGGCTGGTTGAAAGACACATGGATGTAGAGAAAACATGAACTAGTATTTATTTGTATTTGTATTTATTATGGATCCCCATTAGCTGCTGCCAAGGCAGCAGCTAATCTTCCTGGGCTCACAACAGATTTCACAACACATTAAGTGTGTGCCTTCAGGCCACTACTCTACTACCACATATCTACAACACAAAATCCATGTGTACGTGTGTGTATAGTGCATATGTTACCATGTGTGGGTGTGTGTATGCAAGTCTGTGCCTGTGTTTGTGTGTGTGTCTCTTCAGAGTCCCCGCTGTTCCGTAAGCTGTATTTATCTGTTATGTAAATCAGATTTTACTGCTTGCATGAGTTACTTGATGTGGAATAGAGTTCCATGTAGCTATGGCTTTATGTAGTACTGTGCGCCTCCCATAGTCTGTTCTGGAGTTGGGGACTGTGAAGGGACCTCTGGTGGCATGTCTTGTGGGGTATCCATGGGTGTCTGTGGTTTAAACAGAATGCTCGGTGCATTCAACATGTCAATACTCCTCACAAATACAAGTAGTGCTGAAGTCAATCTCTCCTCTACTTTGAGCCAGGAGAGATTGACATGCATATTATTAATGTTAGCTCTCCGTGTACATTTGAGTCTCTATCCCCAACCCCAACATCATCACATCTGGTTTGGGATGTCTTTGTGACGACATAATTCCTGATTTGGCCATGTTAGCGCTGACTTTCATCAACATCAATCATAATTGAAATGGGTGGGACGTTACTGGCAAAACAGCATAAACGTTCTCATCGTCTTGCTTGATTTGATTGAATTCCTTGGGATATGACTGAATTACTCAGTCAATTGGATTCCAGACAAAGGTCTGAGTGAAAGGTACAGTATTGAGCATACACAGGACAGCCTCATCAACAAATAATGTAAGAAAATATTGAAGTTTTAAGTGCATGGAAATAAATGATGTATTACGATTAACAGTGAGATTTAAGTTCCAGGGCCTTGTGAGTCATTTCACTTGGGCATGTTTGGGTCAATTTCTGAGTCATATGGTCACTCATAGAGTGGATGTGAAACAATACACAGACCAGTGTTTTCAGTGCCTGACTGGCTACAGCCAGTAACCTAACACCTTGATCGCTATTAACTTTTTTGCACCAACCCCAGGGCTGCTGCCACGTAGGCTAATCAACACCATTTCTCTGTCGCTTTGCTCTGGAGAGATCATGGCTGATCTCTGCAGGAGAGTGAAGTGACAAAAACCCCTCGTAAAACCTCCCCTGTGATGTGGCGCTCCACGAATGCTCTATTTGTTGTGGTAACCGGAATCCAAGATGGCTGACAGCTCTTCACAAACCCCATAAAGAAGACTGGAGGGTTCCATGGAACATTCACTACTTCTCAAACCTCTAGGAGTTCACTGACTGTCTTGTGGAGCAATGCTGTGAAATGTAATACTTACTTGCCTAACAATATTTATTAGAGCTATGTAAGCTAACGCTATGTCAATAGCTACAGTGGGGATACAAAGTATTTAGTCAGCCATCAATTGTGCAAGTTCTCCCACTTAAAAAGATGAGAGAGGCCTGTAATTTTCATCATAGGTACACGTCAACTATGACAGACAAAATGTGGAAAAAAATTATCCCTTTGCAGAAAAACAGCCCCAAAGCATGATGTTTCCACCCCCATGCTTCACAGTAGGTATGGTGTTCTTTGGATGCAACTCAGCATTCTTTGTCCTCCAAACACAACGAGTTGAGTTTTTACCAAAAAGTTCTATTTTGGTTTCATCTGACCATATGACATTCTCCCAATCCTCTTCTGGATCATCCAAATGCACTCTAGCAAACTTCAGACGGGCCTGGACATGTACTGGCTTAAGCAGGGGGACACGTCTGGCACTGCAGGATTTGAGTCCCTGGCGGCGTAGTGTGTTACTGATGGTAGGCTTTGTTACTTTGGTCCCAGCTCTCTGCAGGTCATTCACTAGGTCCCCCTGTGTGGTTCTGGGATTTTTGCTCACCGTTCTCCCGAGTGGCGCAGTGGTCTAAGGCACTGCATCTCAGTGCTTGAGGCGTCACTACAGACCCCCTGGTTCGATTCCAGGCTGTATCACAACCGGCCATGATTGGGAGTCCCATAGGGCGGCGCACAATTGACCCAGCGTCGTCCGGGTTTGGCCGGTGTAGGCCGTCATTGTAAATAAGAATTTGTTCTTAACTGACTTGCCTAGTTAAATAAAGGTAAAATAAAAATCATGAACTAGATTCAGCCGCGTGCCGATTTTTTCTTGAGCGGATGGACGGGGGGCCGGAACATAATTATAAATAATTTGTAGATGGCAAATTGACCGCAAGAAGCCCAAATAGATATAATGTTTGACTAAAACATAATAATTTCAAACCTTGCTTACATTTGTATACGATCACATTTCTCTCTATTATGCGTGGGAATACTTGGGAACAGATTTCTTAAATTAAAATCACTTGGAGCTGATTTCCTGGTGTTTTTAGTCTATTATGTCCCCCCCCAAAAAAAAATATGTAAACTATCCACGGGTCACACTCGGCCGCCAGTTGGAGAACCCTGACATAGAGGCTGGGGCTAGTTTGAATATTGGTTTAAAACAGGGAATTGCTGGATAATTTGTGGAACTTACAAGCTGTTAGTTTGATGAAGAAGGATCCAAAACCATTGAACAGAGAGGTATTAAGATAGATTAATAACAAAGATGTTATTTGCCAACCTAGTATATCACCTATTCAATCTATAAACAAGGGTGAGTTGTTAAATTTGAATTTACCAATTCAACCACACACGCTGCAGCAGCTGTTTAATGTAGATGTTACTTTACATTGACTTTGTGTTGGTCCAGAGACTAGAAGGCTGTTTAGATCTGGCCCTGCGCCACCACATTGGCAAAGGCTCAAGGTCCTAACAAGCCATGTAATGTTTTCGGTCTTTACACCAAAGCTGTGGCTTCATACAAACCCTGCGCCAATAAATTAAACGGAGCTAAAATAAATAAAATCTTGTCTACAGTACTTAGGACCGGAGACTTTAAAATACAGCCATTTTGCTTCCACGTGTATAAGACACGGTTGGAAGCTTGTCCAATATACTGTCCTAGAAATACCTTTTTTCTTCTTCTGCCATATCTGCAACAAGGAGACAAATACCCAGCGTCAATAACTATCACATGGGCATCTAATGTTGGCAGTGGTCAAGTGTCTCAACCCAGCAAACTGGAAACATTCCCAGAATATTAGCTAAGATTCCCATTAAGTTCTAGTTAGGGTTTTATCTAACATTAGGATGGGACTAAACACCTCCCTCTGCAACTGGATCCTGGACTTCCTGACGGGCCGCCCCCAGGTGGTAAGGGTAGGCAACAACACATCTGCCACACTGATCCTCAACACTGGGGCCCCTCAGGGGTGCGTGCTTATTCCCCTCCTGTACTCCCTTTTCACCACGACTGCGTGGCCAAGCACGACTCCAACACCATCATTAAGTTTGCTGACAACACAACAGTGGTAGGCCTGATCACCGACAACGATGAGACAGCCTATAGGGAGGAGGTCAGAGACCTGGCAGTGTGGTGCCAGGACAACAACCTCTCCCTCAATGTGAGCAAGACAAAGGAGCTGATCGTGGACTACAGGAAAAGGAGGGCCGAACAGGCCCCCATTAACATTGATGGGGCTGTAGTGGAGCGGTTTCAAGCTCCTTGGTGTCCACATCACCAACAAACTATCATGGTCCAAACACACCAAGACAACAGGGCACGACAACACCTTTTTCCTTTCAGGATCCTCAAAAGGTTCTACAGCTGCAACATTGAGAGCATTCTGACCGGTTGCATCACCGCCTGGTATGGCAACTGCTCAGCATCTGACCGTAAGGCACTACAGAGGGTAGTGCGTACGGCCCAGTACATCACTGGGGCCAAGCTTCCTGCCATCCAGGACGTACACTACCGTTCAAAAGTTTGGGGTCACTTAGAAATGTCCTTGTTTTAGAAAGAAAACTTTTTTTTTGTCCATTAAAATAACATCAAATTGATCAGTAATACAGTGTAGACATTGTTAATGTTGTAAATGGCTATTGTAGCTGGAAACGGCAGATTTTTTATGGAATATCTACATAGGCTTACAGAGGCCCATTATCAGCAACCATCAGTCCTGTGTTCCAATGGCACGTTGTGTTTGCTAATCCAAGTTTATAATTTTAAAAGGCTAATTGATCATTAGAAAACCCTTTTGCAATTATGTTAGCACAGCTGAAAACTGTTGTGCTGATTAAAGAAGCAATGAAACTGGCCTTCTTGAGACTAGTTGAGTATCTGGAGCATCAGCAATTGTGGGTCGATTACAGGGATGCTGACCTTCTAGACAGAGTTGCAAAGAAAAAGCCATATCTCAGACTGCCCATCTTAATCTTTTATTTTTATTGACCAGTCTGAGATATGCTTTTTCTTTGCAACTCTGCCTAGGAGGTCAGCATCCCGGAGTCGCCTCTTCACTGTTGACATTGAGACTGGTGTTTTGCGGGTACTATTTAATGAAGCTGCCAGTTGAGGACCTGTGAGCGTCTGTTTCTCAAACTAGACACTCTAATGTATTTGTCCTCTTGCTCAGTTGTGCACTGGGGCCTCTCATTCCTCTTTCTATTCTGGTTAGCGCCAGTTTGCACTGTTCTGTGAAGGGAGAAGTACAC